CGAGCTGGAGCTGGAGCTGGAGCTGAATCCGGTGCCGTTGGCTGAATGCGAAACAGGCGAGAGTGAGACTCTCGAGGCACCGGGGGAACTGGTGGATTCGCACGGCCCTGGCGTCGCCGCCGAGTCTGGGCTTGCTCGTTCCGTCTTTATCATCGACGGCGCTAGCAACAAACCGTACGATTTCCCGTCCATTGACGAATCCACGTCCCCGTAATTTTGCTGAGATCGATGGTGCATAGGCGAGGAACGATGCCGATGCAAAGAGGATGTTCCTACGATGATTTCATTTTCGTTACCGAATCGATCTTGTTGAAGAGGTACTCGATACGATGTCAGGGTCTGATACACCTTCGCCTCGTTCCGACCATCGAAATTATCGAGTTCCCCTCGTTGACCGTCCGAATTTAGAACGTAATAATTTGGTTCTTGATCCGCGCGCGTCTCCGAATAACTCTGAACGTCCACCTGTATTCTATCGTCCGTTTCCCGACGAGGATGTTGTTGCTCTGAATTGACAGAATATTCTTGATAACCAAGACGAACGGATAAAACCGGCGCCGTTCCAGATTGGGAAACATATTGGGACGAAGAGGATGAACCACCATGAGGAGGATGAGAAAGAAGAGGTGGGGGCCCTTGCTGTGTAGCCAGCTCGTCGCCGTGCAGTCTGGCGAGGCTGAGGTTCAAGGCCGGCGCTGCTGGAGTCACGGCAGGCCCCGTGGCTTCCGTCACGGTACCGTCCGGCTTGGAAACACCCACAGGAGAGATCACCGTTGTCGAGACAACTCCGGTATTACCAGTCTCGGCACAACTATTTCTCAAATTATCCTCGCACTGTAACCACTTTTGTATTTGACGTCGATGAATCCCGTACTTTCTTGCGGTGGCTCGTTGATTTCCACGACAATCGATGTCGTTTCTATACGAATCGAGAACCTTGAGTTTGAAGGCCGGCGCGAATATCCGTCTACTTCCCATCACACCGACCGATTTCCTCGGATTCTGTTGCTGTTGTTGCTGTTTTTGATGCACCATTTTCACCGTGCTTCCTTCACTGAGCACTTCGTTTACGCCATGAGCCATAACGTATATTTTCACACACCGAACTTTTCCGCACCGTGACGATGACCGTCACGTCAAACACGAGAACGAGAACGACGACGACGATGACGACGATGAGCTTCGAAACCGGGCACTGCTAACGATGCGACGTACGGGGGTACCTTAACGCGTAACATTGCACGAAGTGGCCTGGTCGCGCCGCGCACGGAGTTCCTTTTAGGTCTTGGTAGATGCCGTAACTAATTTTCATCCCCACTACTACTAGCGGACTGCGGCTGCTTCCCACTGAAACGATC